GAGACTGAACCGAAGGTTGTTCAAATTGTATCTGTTTGGCTCTGCAGTTGGGCTCTTTGAGTGGATGACAGATGTCACATGGAAAGTCAGTGACCAGCACGTCCAATGCTACAGCTGTACCTCTTATAAAACCTGCCTAAGTCCCTCCATGTTGCGAGGAGAGGGAGAAAAATTACATGCATGTGAGGAAGAAAAGAGGCCGGGGGATTAGTGGGTACAAATCAGCAAAAGACTTGGACGCTTCTTGTATTTCATGGAGAGACACATAATTAATGCTTTGTGGCACAATTACTTACATCAGTACCCAATTTCATCAACATCTGGTAGAAGAAAGCATCCGGCTCCTTATCTTCTATGTAACCTCTTTCTAAATGCAAGATATGCACAAGTAGTAGTCACTTTCAGAGAATAACATGTGACATTTAATATTTATCTAACTTTATAATCTCACAGTTCATAAAATCCCCATGGACACTCTTTTTTTTGCTATTCCAATAACTAAATGCCAACAGCCAGCTCTGGAAGACATGGATTTGAGTAGTAAACACACATTCTGGAGAACATGCGTTGTGCAGTTTCTATGAATATTTGGGAAGGGAAAGCCTTACACCATAAAATCACAATTTTAATCCACAAATAAACAGGAGTGTTAGAATAAAATCCAACGCATGAATTTTGGAAGCTTAGAAAAATTTAACAGATGTAAGTATTGAATCTTAGTTTGCAGGGTCAAAGCACACATTTTAGATGATTTTTTTATGGTTAGTTATTAATAAAGATAAAGCAGATGTTAGGTAGTTCTATTTTCTTGTCAGGTATTTTTGGGGAAGGGGTGAGGACAGTGTCTTTTTGAGAGTTGATCAAATTTATCTTCCCTTTGAGAGAGTGGGAGTTTAAAAAAAAAAGACACCTAGTAAAATTCAGCACATTTAGGGGGAGACTCAGGCCACAGTTGCAAATATACATAACGATGACATTTGTGATTATACATATGGTCTATATTACATTATATATATGGTCTAACGTGCACGCATACACACACACACACACACACACACACACTGGGAAGGGGAACACATCCCTCCTCCTCCCCTGAATTTTCTCCAGGCACCTGTAACACCAATACACAAACTCTTCTCCTGGGTACCCCGTTACCTTGTCCTAACGACGATGGAAGACAACTTTCCTTTTCCTGCAGGGAAAGACTCACAGGTGCGGAGCCACGTCTACACCTGCACTTGCAGGTGGCTTGTTCCACTCACCTTCAGTGTCAAAGCGCTGCCAGACCTGCCGGCTTCCCAGCGCCCCAGGGTGTGCCCACTGGCGCTGTCCATGGTGCTGACCTCGAGGCGAGGGCACCAAAGGCGGGAACAGTCAGAGAACCTGGGTTGGGACTCTGTTGGTGCTGTCTTCCGCTCTCTTGCCTGCTTTGTTCCCTCTCTGACTTGCTTTCAGCTCCTGTCTGAAGTTGGCCAGGTAGTTGGTGCCCTGGTGTCACCCAGCAGTCCCCAATCCCCAGGGCGCTCTCAGCGAGACAGCTGCTTGGAGCCTGCCCACGCCTTGGCCCCGCCCACTCTGTGCGCGGTCCTTGCCCATCCATGGCGAGCTCTTTCTTATCATCTGCCTGAGTGCTGGGGGCCCGGGGAGGCGGTAGATGGCTGTCTTGGGGCGTCCATGATCCATGCCCTTCACCCTTCAACTTGTCAAATTCACAGAAAACATCCCCCTTACATTTGACTTATCTTTCAAACTTGTGTCACAAGGGGTTTTGTAAAGCGAGCTCCCAGTTAAAGGGTTAGAAGATGTGTTAGGGCCCTTTGGAACTGATGATTTAGAAATGTAGTGTGGCCCTGGCCGGTTTGGCTCAGCGGTTGGAGCGTCGGCCTGCGGTCCAGAGAGACCGGGGTTCGGTTCCCGCTAAGGGCACGTACCTCGGTTGCAGTTTGTCCCCGGCCCTGGTTGGGTCGTGAGGGTGGCAATCGCTCGATGTGTCCCTTTCACATCGATGTTTCTCTCTCTCTCTCTCTCTCTCTCTCTCTCTCTCTCTCCACTCTATCTGAACAAAATATCAAATAAATAAATAAATAAATAAATAAATAAATAAATAAATAAATAAAATGTAGTGTGTAGGGGGTGGGGGTGATAGGTGGAGAGGGCTACCCACATATCTATCAGGGAACTAGGTACATCCTACTCTGCATTCTCTCACACAAAGATTTCCTTTTGGGAGAATCATCCAAACCCTTGACTAAGAAGAGAGTCATCAGGAAGGTATTTAAAGAGACCAGATCAGCAGAAGCTGGGAGTTACCTTGAAGATGCTCTCACTGGAAGTCTCCTACCTGGGAATGGGGTGCTGGGAGTGGGGGTGGACGAACAGGGCAGTGATTAATCTGAGACCATCACTGTCTAACCAGAAAACTCATTGAAAAGCAAATACAATGCAGCTAAAATCAATGTGAGATAAAGTCTGCAACTTATGGGTTAATTTGGCCCCTTCCACAAAGATTCTGACTTAAATGGTCTGGTGCAAGTACTTTGCATTGATATATTTTTTTAAGTTTCCCAGGGATTACATTAGAATCACTGCCTACCTTTTTGTCTCTCAGTTTCCTGCTGCTTATTTTGGTCACTTTATTTGGGTATGGCTTCTCTGAGGGGCAATCTGGAAAAAGGAACAGACTTTTAGGGAATTAATATTACTTTTCATTAATACCTCATCACTTTCAAAAAGAGATTAGAATTGACATGTTACTCTGGTAAGTTTTAACAACGGACGGCTCAAACTAAGGATGGCTTTGAGTTGTTTCTCTTTTTATCCTGGCTAATTTCATTTCTTCCTGTAATCCCTTCCTGCTTTTCTCATTAGCATAGCTAATGGATGGTTGTTGTACAAGAAACATCAGTGGCCTATCATTTGAAGCATTGCTAGTTAACTCTGATGTACACATCAAACTCTGGGTTAGAGTATCTGTATCTTTTACAAAGTCATAATGGTGTTTCTAGCTGGGCTTGTGCACAATGCTTCCATTGGCATCACCTCCCATTAGTTATTGAGCATTCATTCCAACATGGGGCAGCTCATGGACTAGATAATAAATCTCAGAATTAAAGGAGGTTGCCTTCCTTGAATGCCACACTAGCTCCAATGGACATGGAAAGTAGACTTAAAGAATTGGACAAAATACTGGAAATAGAGCTAATGCTTTTAAAATACATATACCTTTTATTTCTTTTGTAATTACATGAATACTAAAGATCATTTAAATAAGGTGGATCATGAGATCTGCATGAGAAAAAAGATTCCCCCATAATTTCACCACCCAGAGATAACAAAGGATAATAACTTATTTGTTATGTGCTCCAGCCCTTATTTAAAAATATAATATATTCCTTTTTATCTATTTATTTTTCTTTATTGATTTTAGCAAGAGAGAGGAAGGGAGAGGGAGAGAGAGATAGAAACATCGATGACAGAGAACATCAATTGGCCTCCTCCTGCACGCCCCCACACTGGGGATCTGGCCCACAACCTGGGCATGTACCCTGACCGGGAATCAACTGGTGACCTCTTGGGGTAGGGTCTACACTCAACCACTGAGCCACACTGGCCGGGCCTCCAGCCTTTTTTTTATATGCACAAAAATTGGATTATACTGCTCTGTAACTTCATTTCACTTAATATATGAATACTTCGCTTCATTAATGTTCGTTACGTTTTCAAACTGACTTATCCTTACTGATTTTGTTTGCTTGATTTAAAAAGTATGCAAAGGTATGTTAAAACTCTGAGGCTAGATTTTGTTTCTTCTTGTAGTTACTTGCATTTCTATTTTATGTCTTTAGAGACTATGCTACTAGGTGATTAATAATTCATTTATAATTCTTATTTCTTCTTGGTGAATGGGTCTTCTTTATCATGTAGTGACTGTTCTGATCTCTTGTGATGTTTCTCGTCTAACATTAACAGGCATGCCAGCATTCTGTCAGTAGCATGCCCCCGATATAGCCATCTCCACCCATTCACTTTCATCATCTTGCTGGTTTTACGTGTAGAGGCCTCTTACCAGTCACCTTGATGGAGGAAAACATTGTCTTCTTGCTTCTACCTGGGGGCATCAGACACAGAGCGGGGCCCACACCACGCCGCCTCCTGGCTGGCCTCCGAGACAGGGCCGCACACGGAGTCTGAGTTCCGATTCAAACTTTGGGAACCATTTTCTCTCACAAATAAATATCGACTGAGCACTTTCTCTCCCCACCCTCCCTGGGGTCCTCACGGGTCATGTCATGAGTCAGACAGTCCCCGTGCTATGGAGGTGCCACTTCAAGTCCTTGTACAAAGGTCACCTCCTCGGTGGCCTTCTGAGCATCAGACAGAACAAATCCCTTCTCCGTGGTGCTGGTCATTCCCTGTGGGCTGCATCACACTCGGTGTGGTCACCCCATCCCACAGCCTGTGAGTCTGCTTCACTGACAGGCATGAGAGGGGCCTGTCTGCCCACCGGCACTTGAGACAGCAGGACACAGTCTTCCATCTGTCCCCTTGTGGCACCTCCAGCCGAGGCAGAGAACCATTCAGTCTATGCTCCGTGGCACCCAGCCCCGCACCCAGTGTGTGTGTGGGGGGACAATAGAGTGTCCCCCAGGTGACCGTGCTGCTGGCGACTCACCCGTCACACGCCAGAGCTCACACTCCTCCAGCTGGGACCCGATTGGAGGCACCAGGAGCTGATACAATTCATAATAAACCTTCTATACATTTCATCTTCTTCCCGAAGGTGAGAGCAGGTAATGCAATTAGCAAGTTCCATTTATTTTGAATGAAACTTGGTTTGAGTAGCTGGGAACTAGGATTATTCTGGATTTTGGACATAAGAGCAAAGTTCATCACCACACACCAAACTTAACTAAAAAACATAACTGCAGCAAGTCTAAATTCCATTTGTAAAATAATTTTATTGGTATAAATATACATATGAATAAAATACCTCCCGCTTGCCATGTAAGTGACTATTTGTGAAATGTCTTAAAAGAGTAGTATTTTGATCTTTTTACAGGTGTCAAAGTATTCTCTCTTAAAATCACACACTCAAAGCTAATATGCAGACAGAAATTAAAGAAATAAAAAAACACAAATATCCATAAACCCTCATTCCAATCAACTATACACATGAATCTGGGCGCACAGGAGCAGCAGCCGCGGCCTCTGTTCTCACGCTGCGTGACGGCGGCTGCCAAGGTCGCCGGCTGTGTGGGATGGAACACACACCCCTCGTCAGGAAGGAAGACACTCCCCCAGGACCATGCAGAAACCACATCCAAGACCTCACATCTATAATCTACATAACGCTGCATTAGTGTGCTCTGGGAAGGTAACTGTGCTGTGCAGACAGCGTGAGTGGGCTGCTCTACGAGCCAAGTGCCGGTTTGACACAGGTAGAGCAGCAGGGCCCAGGGTCACCTGGACGGTGCCCTTGTGCAAGGAGTGTCCACTCGCCTCGTGTACCCGCAAACACTCCTCCTGTGGGCAGAGGGCAGCTGCCTCAGAGAAATTCAAGTACGGCCCACAGGGTAGTTGGTGGCTTCGCTGAAGGCACAGGAAGGAATGCTGAGGAATTAAAGGCCGAGGGCTGGGAGAAGCCCACACAAATGTGCTTTGATTACCAAGAAATGGATCTGGTTTTGTTTTCAAAAAAAAAAGGAAAAAGGAAAAGAAAGAAGCACCAAGAGAAGAGTGTGGAGGAGGGGGGCTGCCGTGGGCCCCCGAAGGCCCACCAAGGCCCTGCTCAGGGCCTTCTGCAGGGCGGAACCTTCACACGAAGATAAATTCTTTCTCTGCTTCCTCCCCCGAGTCACTGGACTTGCTGCCTTGCCGGCCGTCTTTGCTGGGGGACCATGGCTTCTGTTCCTGGTACTCCTGGGGTGGCTGGCCCCAGCTTCTCCTCGAAACTGAAACAGAAGCAGAAAGGGAAGATCTTCACACTGCCTGCTGGTAACCCCACTGGCAGTGGTAATGGGGTGAGACAGGACCCTGGGGGTGGCTCCGGCAAGAACTTTCTCAGAAACCAGGCAGCAATTACATTTAGAGACTCCAGACAGAAATGAAAGACATACCAGCAAAAATGGACACATCAAAGCAAGAAAACATACAGAACTCCAGTCTATGAGAGGGCGAGCCTCTCGCGGCTGTGGTTGAGAATCAGGGGGCAAGGACCCCAGATGGCGAGGACGGCGGGAAGCGAAGGGGGTGCCTGGGAGAAGGAGCACTCTGAAGCTGCTGTGCCAGGGAGCCTCCTGCACACCTGTCACAGCTGCTCCTGCACAGCAGAGGGCACAGGGTGGAAGCCTCGAGGAGGCGCTGCTGGGCAGATGGCCACTCACGCTCCAAAGACCAGTTAGGGCTGGCGTCTCTGACGGGGACATGACATCAGGGGAGGCCCAGCAACCCGCCACACCTATCTGTGTCTCAGAAAGCCTGTTTCATGCTCCAGGAGACTAACAGTCCTGTGAAAAGGTATGTATACTGCCTACGGTCTACTCCGCCTTTTTGGAAGCTTCAAGCACAAGAATTGTCATTACTGATGCCTATTCTGATTACACGTGGACAGCAAGGGTCCCCTGCAGCTCTGCAAAGCCTCCGTTTTATTACCACTGCTCCTCACGGCTACCCTGGATCAAGGTCTAAACACCATCTTTCTCCAAAGCCACATCCTCCCAGCTAGGTGGCAGCTGCACTGTACCTGGGAGAGGCGTGGGTGCCTCCTCCCACATGGCTGCCACAGGTGATTAAACACTGCTCTCCAAGCCTGTTGCATAGACACCACGTACACTCACCCTAACCCACACCTCTGCCGGCGGCTGCCTCAAGACTGAAACTCACAGTCCCACCAGGACCACAGCCTGGAAAAGCCACAGAATTCAGCCCTGAGCAAATTCTCAAATAGGGGGGAAGGGACAATGAATAAATATTATAATTGATTTGTATTTTTTTTAGCATGAATTAGGTAAAAAAAAATTTAAATGTCTAATTGGTCCTTTGAAACTTGTTTACAAGCCAAGTTCTGGGGAAAAGGTGGTAGTTTCGCAGTCTGCCCTTCCTCGCAGTGCCGGACGGGAGTGGGGAGAGCTCAGCCCCCGCGTGTGGAGAGGACGCAGAGAGGTCCCTGTCCTCTCCGAACACACGGCACGGACCGAACCTCAGGCACAGCTCCGCCAGGGAAATTGGCTAGAAAGTCGTATTCGTGCCATTTAAAAACCAAGGTAAGTTGTACTTGAAATATCAGTGCCAAGTACAACTTCCAACACGACAGGTTCAAGGGGAGAATGAATATGGTGGTCCATTACTCATTTGTCTTCAGAGCAAACATACTGCCCTGATTCTTAGATGAAAAAAGTGTTTCATCGCCTGGCTGGTGTGGCTCAGTGGTTGAGTGTCGAGCCCTGCACCAAGAGGTCGCCAGTTCGATTCCTGGTCAGGATACATGCCCAGGTTGTGGGCCCAATACCCAGTGTGGGGGACGCAGGAGGTGGTCAATCGATATTCTCTCTCATCGATGTTCTCTCTCTCTCTCTCCCTCTCCCTTCCTCTCTCTAAAGTCAATAAAGAAAAAAATTTTTTTAATAAAATTAATTAAAAAGAGTTTAATCTTCCCCAATAATTCAGCACCCTGGCAACTGCAGTCAGGTTCATGGTATGTGATACGACATCTGTGTAGTCTCTAAAAATGGAGAAATTCGTGCTGTCAAAGATGTTAGTGGCACAGTGAGAACTGGGAGGACCCTGGACCAGGGTCCTTGCAGCGGGGCCAGGTGACTTTCAGAGAAATCCAAACAGGACTCTTCCCACAAAATCACACTGTTCTTCAGTCTCCATCCAAGTGCTCCTGGGCCTGGCGCCCGCTAGAGCTGGGGTGGGAAGGCACAGCAAACACTGACCAGTTACCAGGCGGGCGGGTCAGCGGCACAGACCCGGTACTGGTCATAAAAGCAACAATTTCCATTTGTCTAACACAGCCACTAAGAAAGACTAACATGTTCTTTCTCGAGGGCTGTCAACGCAGGTAACTATGGTGGTGGTGATACCGTTTAAAAATTCATTCCAAAAATATTCACTTTCGCCCTGGCCAGATTTGCTCAGTGGTTAGAGCATCGGCCCATGGACCAATGAGTCACAGGTTTGATTCCAGTCAAGGGCACGTACCTTGGTTGCAATTTGTCCCTGGCCCTGGTTAGGGTGGTGCAGGAGGCGGCCACTCGATGTGTCCCTCTCTCTCTCTCTCTCTCTCTGTCTCTCTCTCTTTCTCCCCTCTCTCTCCCTCCCATTCTATCTGAACAAAAATGGAAAAATGTCAGGTGAAGATAAAAAAATAAAAATAAATAAAAATATTCACTTTCATTGGCTAAACTCTACCAACTGGGCATGTGAATTGATCACGAAACTGGCACCAAGCTGTTGTTGCCTTCGTTCAGACAGTAGGCACCACTCTTGGAGAGGGAAACTGAGGCACCGTGAGATCCGGAACTGAAGTCACAACTCACACAACTGTCGTCTCCCAGCCTCTGCCTTCCTGTGAGTCCGAATCAACAGAGCAAACAACTTGCCAGGGAATGTGCTTTCAGCCTCTGTCGCTGGCACAGAACAGACACTGATGACAGATGCAGAAGTCGGTGCTCAGACTCCACGGACGGACAGTCTAAGTAAGATGTGTCTGCTTCAACCCTAAAGTCCAGAAAGTACTTTACAGTATTTATAAAACTCAGACTTCTTACTAATTCAGATAACCTTCTCCTAGCCAGCCTAATTTAATTATGCTCTATTTTATAGAGTAAAAAAAAAAAAATTAGATGTTTTACTACTCTTCTTCAATGCAAGTATTAGTGCAGCCCAAGTGTTGGCATGGCTCTGTGCCTGCAGAAGTGTTATTAGCACTCCATCCATGTGCCATTAAAATGATAAGATACCTGAGCAAGCAAACAGGTAAGTCCTTCAACACAAACATCCATATCCCATCTACAGAGGCGACAAATGGCACAGAAAGGCACAAACATGGAACCTGCCATTCTTGAAGACGATTTGGCTTTGCATACATATGCAAATACATATGCTAATTTTAAAGCTTTTGAAACATGCATATAAGCTCAGAATTAGAGATTCATATGAAAACTTGAATTTGTCTCCATTTTAAGCTCCAATGACAACATCCTAGTTTCCCAGGAGAAAAATATGATGATGGCTTTAAATAATACTCAGTAGTTGGTTCTGATTTTTTACTTTCTGGCGAGAGCCAAAAATGCCAACTGTTAAATTTCTTGTGAAGAACTCAGACAGGGCAGTAGAGCCCAGGTGTGGACCGGAGCCCTGCTCACGGACTGGAAGCCACAGCCACGTATGTGTGGGCTTGGGCTGGACTAAGGAAGAAGCAGGTGACGTGGAAAAGGACGCCAGAGTGAGAGCCTGTGCGCCAGGCTGCCGGGCCCTGCACCCGAAGCCAAGCCAACGGTCTTCTTCGAGAAAACAGGGCACACTCTGCAACATCGCAGCACATAACTAAAGGTGAGAGAAGGGGATAGGAAATTCACAAGATGCAGGGACAAATATTTCTAGTGAAAGAAAGCATTTTACCCATCAAGTCGATGTTAAAATAGCCACACAATTAAAACATCATAATCACGATAAAACATGCAGCATGTTTTGAGAATAATAGCCTCTGTTTTTTCATGGACATGTGACTGAGGGAACTAATAAGCCTGTTTTAGTGCAAACAGCTGCTTTTAAAAGATCCTGAGCAAAGTGCATACAACGATTTGACGGAATTGCTGTGCCGAACGACCTGGGAACCAGAAACTATTCATCAAGCAGACTGCAATGCCTCCCTCAAGGGCAAGACGTCACGTGCTAGGAACTGGCACTAACAAAACAAAATCAAAGTACTGTACGTAAAATCACATTAATTGAAGCCCCCGTGACAATTACTTTTTAGTTCCTGCCGGTATTTCAAGAAATCAAGGCAGAAAAGCAAATACAAGATGGTCCATTTAATCCCATCGACATTTGAAACAGCCCATCACAATGAGAATTTTTAAGCCAAAGAGGTCAAGAAAAAAATTTGAGATGGACACAATCTCTTGCCTTTCAAAGGTTTTGCTTATCTCTGCCTTCCTCTTCCTCCTCTTTTTACTCTAACTCAAGGACAGTCCGTGTGATGGGGGGGTCTCTTGGCCGGTGTGTTGTATAAAGTGCCTTTAGTGGCCTACTGAAGAAAGAAACTTAAGCTACATGGAGGCTACTTTGTTAATAAAATGATGAGAGTCAATGGATACAATAGTTCAAATGTAAATTTCCAAAACCTAGAAACATCCATGTGACCTTGGGTGTCCTTATCAGAAAAGGGCAATATAGACACAGAGCTTCTGGTTTCATCTACTCTCAAGAATAAGTATCTTAGGCATCTATTTACATCATTTCTCCATGATGTGAAGATCACAGATTTTCTTGAAAATGTCAGAGAAAACTCTCGGACAGAGAACAGCGACTGTGTGTTTATAAATAGGTCTCCCACACAAGAAATCCTTGACAGGTGAAGGGATGTCAGGGGGTCTTTTCCGGGGAAGTGCCCCCAGCCCACACAGAATGCCCACCCCTGCGTGACCTTCAGACTGCTTCACGCTGTAGCCACGTCCTCAGGCGAGTCGGAAGTGGGACTGGCCCCCCAGGACGGGCCAAGAAGGCTGGCTCCCTGTGCTGCTGTGTGTGTGTGTGTGGGGGGGGTGCTGACAGATGCTTTTTAGGTTGTTTTTGTTTTAAAATCTATGTCAAAGAGAGTCCTCAAGACAACAGTTCCTACTGAAGGCATCATAACTCATGGGGCTATTAAGCTGTAAGGTGGGTCAAAGAGGTTTCTGTCCATAACAAAGTGCTACAGCGTAAGAATGGTTATCCTTCTGCAATAAAGAGAGGTTCTTCCTAAAGTAACGTCACTCCCACTGACCCGGGACGCTTTCTTGGGAGGCGTTAGGAGTGAGGCAGAAGCCGTGACCCCCGGAGCCAATCCACTCGTACTTGAACCCCTGGTGAAGTTTTACAAGAAGAAAACAAAGCCTCCTTCCAAGGTGAGGAGTCCTTTCAGGAAATGTCACCTGGCAGAATAGTGCCTATTCTCTTTCTTTTAGGAGTGTAAGATGCCCTTTACAATGTCTCACGTCATGTTGACAAAACGTCGTCAGCCAAGGAAATGACGTGTAATTAGTCACAGAAAAGACACTTCCTTTCTGAGTCAACAACGGTTGTTCTGAAATTTCCCGATGGGGCTAAAGCTCATCTGAAATGTCTCCGTTTGGTCTCCCAGGACCATCCTCACCGGGCTGAACGTGACAGAACCACGGCACTGTCAGTGGAGACAGGCCCCAGAGGAACTGCTGGAAACAAAATTCATTGTTCCTAGAGGCAAAAAAATTCACTGGTATTTTTCTTTCTTACTGAAAGGTCCTAAAATGACCACTCAAAGACCAGTACATGGTGTGGGGTCTGCGTTGGGTCACTGGTCTCGACTGATCCTTTCCGAAAAGAGTGGGAGGGGTGTTAGGCCGACAGTCTCTAAAGGGGTGAGGTGGGTTACTCTCAGGGTCTCTGATCCAGTCCCAACGTAAATCTAACGAACTAGACAAAGGGATAGGACAGCAGCCATGACCCCAAACATAAAAACGAACCCACAGGGTCACAAACATTTGAAAGGACGAGTCATCATCCTCCAAGGTCACTTGATCCTCCCCAGAATTTCTCATTTTAGATTTTTGAGTCAACTTTTTGCCCCAGATGAAAGGACCATCCTGTTGCCATTTGGAAAACACAAAACTCAGAGGTAGGAATCATCGCAGTCCCCAGACAGAAGCGGCTCAGTGCCAGTGCGGTGGCATGGGCAGCGGGATGCCCGTCGGACTCTGGCCACGCGTGGGCTGTGGCGTCCTGTGCGCAACTGCGTTGGCCGCCCCTTCCGCGAGGGCGGAGCACAGCGTGGTGGTCTCGCTCCTCTGCCGGAAGGCTCGCCACTGCCACGATCTGAGCGTCTTTTGTAATAATCTCCTCTTTGCACCACTGAGGAAAAGGGATTCATTTCCCCTTTACATTAGCAAATACATCAATGTGTTTACACCAGTATGAAAACATATCGACATGAAAAGTTAAGTATCAGCTCACCCACCCCACCTAGGATCCAGGGAACCTACAGTGTTGGTTCTGATCAGATACACTGATCTGCAGAATCCAACAGCCAACATTATGGGAATATCGTGCAAGATGAAGTGAGCCCTGTTCTGCCCCCCCCCCCCCCCCCCGGGTGCTAACAAGGCCCTGGTGTCACCGTTTCGGTCCCAGAATGGATTCATGAAAACCCCGTTCACAGTGGAAGAATCCCGGAAAACCGTTTGAAAACGCTCATTACTTTTTTATTCAACCTCCTGCCCTTTCCTTGTGAATCCTTCCATGTGTCAGCTGCTCTGGGCAAGATGTTTCCTCCTTACCCCTCCCCACCTCCGCTGCAGGCCCACCAGAGCCCTTACCAGCAGGGCAGAGGCCTGGGGCTGCAGAAGGAGGGCTGGGGCGCCAGCAGGGCCCCCTGACCAGCTCCACTGAGACCACAGGCCATGGCCGTCCCCCTGCACTTGTCCCCACACGCGCCGGCCAGCTGCCTGTCACGGCTCTGCTTTCTGCACGTGACAAGCTGCCCTGTCAGCTTTGGGCAAACCCCACCTTATTTTATCTATGGTTAAGAGGTGGGTCAAAGTGTTCCCCCGAAACAAGCCTGCAGGGCAGAGAGGAGGAAACTCCAGGGCTACTTCTGCGCTCAACTCCAAATGACAACGACAGTGCTCAGAGACACTTCCTGGGGACCCGACCCCAAGACCACCATCAAGAAAACAGGCCAAAAGTAAGAAAGAAAGAAAACTGGCTAATGTGGGAGATGCCAGAGGCATGAGGTCAAGGAATTCTAAAGCGGAAAACGAGTCTGAGATGAGCGAGCTGCCGCTCCCCGGGGGGCCATCTGGACAGCCCGCTGACTGGGCTCCGGGGGGCCCTTACAGGTGGGGCTCAGAGGTGGCCAGCACCCCGAGTCAGCGGAGCTAAGAGAGTGGGCGCTGAGGCCACCAGACACCTCCCCAGAGCACCTCCCGTCCAACCCTGGGAGGTGGCGTGCGCGGCCCAGGACTACCTTGCTCTGCTCCCGTCCCACACAGTAGCAGGAGCACACGGGTGAGATGGTGGCCTGAGAGCGTCCCTGCAGGGGTCACACTGCGGAGAACATGCCATGTCTGACCTCGGCCCCAGCGAGCACAGTGGCCCACAAAGCCACTCGGGCCCGGCGGACTCCCCTGAGCGGCAGCAACGCCCGTTTACAACCAGGGAGAGCTCTTCCTGGAACAGTGGGGTCCGGACACCTACAGGGAGCACCAGACCGCGTTCAAGGCCGTGCAGGGATGCTGGGAGCCAGGGCAGGGGTGGCATTCACTGTTACGAAGACATGAGGTCTGTGAGCGATGCCTCGGGGGTGCCTCTCTCTGTGGGCACCTCCATCCCAATCCCACGTCACCAATAACGCTGATTTGAGGCTCAGAACTATGCAACTCTCTGGTCCCAACATTAACCCAAGGGATGCCAACTCCAACTCTAGGCTACTAGTTCATTCCCTTCGCTTGAAGTGAGTCTCCTTGGGGAAAGCTAGGGGGGAGGAAAACATGTCCTACCTTCCTGGGAAAACCTGGGGCTGGACTGAGGACTCCCACGGCCTTCTCTCTCCTTGTCCATGGGGACTTTTTTCAGGACAGGAGGAAGAAGAGCAACTTTGGGGGAACCGAGGCCGGGTGGAGAGTCCGGGGCGTCCTCTGTGGAGACAGAAATGCACAAGTCATGCTGTGAGCTGATCCCTCAAATGGCAGCTGGTTCGTCTTTCTGCACAAGGGACTCAGATTCTTAAAAAGCATCACAGAATTTTTCCGAGTAAAAACTAATCCCATGTTTCCACCCAGTCAAGTGATCACGTCCACAAGCAGCGGAGACACAAGCACCACGAAGTGATGGAAGGTGAGTGTCTGCCCAGGCCCGACGCCGCAGACCAGGCTTCCGGCGAGCTGGCGTCTGAGACCAGACGGGGAGCCACTCCTGCCGCAAACACAAAGGCTGTTGGGTTTTCTTAAAACGTGCAAACTGTATGACCCACTGACTCCACCTGTTTCAAACCCACTCAAGGTCGCCACACACACCTTATGTGTGTGTGCACATGTGCCCGTACCTATCCACATGCTGAGACCCCTAAGAATAACTGTGAATCACAGACTTTTACCACCAGGATGCTGGTGATCACTGTACAATGAAGAGACTCAAGATCTCAAAGCTAAAAAGGTGGCAGAAACAGCTGGAACTGGTGTCTTCATCCAGAAGGCTGGGCTGTTTCTCTAAGGGACAGACCTACAGGTCCGCCTCCTTTCTCTGCTGTTACCAGCACTCCTGTGTACACCTGCGTGCATGTGCGTGCACGTGTGTGTGCACACATAGGTGTGCACGTGGGATCTATGCATGTGTTGTGCCTTATGTGAGGGTCTATGTGCATGCCATGGTGTGACTTGTGTGTGCATGTACACATGCATGTGCATGTGAGGTGTGCCTCGTGTGAGGGTCTATGTGCATGCCACAGTGTGATTTGTGCGTGCATGGGACTGTGCATGTACACATGTATGTACATGTGTGGCGTGCCTGTGTGCATGTGCGCACACATGCGTTGACAGTGTCTTTCATGTGTGCATGAGTGTGCATATATGCATGTGTGACGTTTGTGCCTGTGTGTGATGTGTGCAGCTGTACACATGTGGTATGCAGAAGACAGCCTTCACCAGGCCCTCCTCAGGCTCACACGTCCAACTCCAGCCTTCGAGCTTCCGTACGCACACGGATGTGACCAGACACTGACATCACTCCACCCACCTGACAATCGCTCAGCCCGTGGAGAGGAAACCGGTGGGTGTTTGAAAATGCCTGCGAAGTTCTCAGGCTCTATGAAACATCGCTTGTTCGCAGACTCAGTATGCTAAGGCCACCGAGCACATTCAGCAAAGCAAAACGAAAGTTCTTACAACAGAATGTCGGGAACCCGGCTAGTCTTATACCCAGCTAGTCTTATGAGACTGAGGGCCCCCCCCCCCGAGATTGGGCTCGCCAACAGAGACTTCCTCTCTGTAGAACCTCGAGCCCACATTTACCAGCAACTCAGGGGACCAGCCAGTGTTGGCGTCACCCCCAACCAGCAGAGCCCTTACCAGGCCGCAGGGTAGCCCGCGGCTTCTGCGGGATGGCAGGCCGTGCTGCCGGGCTGGGCTTGGGCGACTGCAGGGCCACATTGGAGATGGAGGAGCTCCGGCCCCGGGAGCCCATGTCCACTCTGGGGTCGGCTTTGGCATTCTTTTCTGGGGTCCCCGGAAGAGCGGAGTACAGTTTAGGCACTGAAGTGAGAATGGGTACAAAAAGCAACTTTACTTTAAAACTCAAAGGGGAGAGGAACCCATTGCGCGAAGTGAGAAGCACCAACTGGGTCTGGGTCGCTGCCAGTTGTCACCACTGCGGGACAGAGGCAGCAGGAAGCCTGGCATTCCCTGTATCAGCCAGCGGACCACCAATCACTGCCCAGAGGGCACGTGTCAGAGGGATGGCATGCAGTCCCCACAATGTGCCTGGACCTCCCTGCACACGGAGCTGTCAGCCTGCCCAGGACCTGCCCAGGTGAGACCAACGGCAGAATGACAATCAGGGAACAGTCCAGCCACGTCCCCAAAATGTCCCCCTCCCCAATGCCCACAGTTTGGGAGTTCTTCTCAATGAAATGCCTTCCCTTTGGGAATCAGAAGAGGCACCGTTTGGGCTCAGGGGACAGTGGTGGGGGACGTGCCCCAGGTGAGTTGGAGCAAGAGGAGAAGCGAGAGCTGGAAACACAGCAGAGCCTCAGTCTTGCCTCGTCCTCACCTTGTTTCTCCTGCCAACCCCCTGTGCCTCCGGAAAGGGCAGGTGTTTCCCTAAGGGGGCGCGACACCTGCCAGACTCACCTGCCCCACCTCCATCCAACAGTTCCGTGCCCATGGCCAGGCTGGAAGACTCCGGGGAGATGGTGTCAGTCCCAAGCTTCTAAAAAATGCAAGCACCCACCCCCAAAAGTGCACATTTATTTAAAGTATAAGAAAAGAACAACGCAGATAGAACAGGACAACAAAGGGCCCTTCAGCTCCTCGACTGTCCTGACGATGGTCTGACTCTCCCTGAGGCGCTCAGGACCAAGCTCTGAGGAGCACGGACGCTCCCCAGGTGACAGGCCTGGTCCGGGCAGCCACTGGCCTTGGTGACACTCGCCATTTCCCCTGCTGAACCCACTCCGACTGGGTTCCAAAAGTCAAGCTTTAGCAGCAGGGCCAGCCTTGCCACCGTGAATGCACAAGGCAGATGGAAGGCTCCGGAGCAGGCAGGGCTCCGCGCCACCGAGGCAGAGCCCAAGGACAGGGAGGTGGCACTTAGGAGGCAAATACAGGTGAGCTGGCCAGAATTCATCAAAAATAGAACCCACGGACTTCATGTGGAGCGAGTCTGTGAGGGCAGACACGGGGAAGGACGAATGTCACTGACTTGGGGCGACACCTGCGCCAGATAAGCCCGACTCAGCAGCCCACCAGGGGGCTCCAGAGGAAAGAGTGTGGCCCCTAAGTCAATACCGGTTCCTCCCCCGTCTCAATGAGTAACAGGCGCCATATCTTCACCTCAGGGCTCTTTTTCTTTAAATACATTCAAAGTGAACAGCGTGAAGAGCCAAGAGCATCACTCAACAGGAACATGAACTCGATGTACGTGTTTTCTTATCAATAGTATACTCACCACTGACCTTGATGTTGCTGACTTCATAAAGAATACAATCATGGAGAGCTAAGTTTTGAACACCTTTCTCTTATTATTGTGTTATTCAAGTAGAACAACGCTTTTCAACCTTAGTCATCTCATGGTGCACACACTAATCACTAAAAGTCTGCAGCACACCAAAAAACATAATTTTTGCCGATATGACAAAAATATAAGAATAATTTTGATTCATTCACATTGGACAGCTATTGTTGTGTTGGCTGCTGTCATGCTTTTATTTGACAATCTAAGGAAAAAGAAGTCAGTGTCCCTGATTAAATAATCAGGTACTGCATGTTTTAAAAATTCTTGCAGCATCCGGCCGGTGAGGCTCAGTGGTTGAGCGTCCAAGAGTTCGCTGGTTCAATTCCCAGTCAAGGCACATGCCCAGGTTGTGGGCCCAATCCCCAGTGGGGGGCATGCAGGAGGCGACCAATCGATGTTTTCTCTTATCGATGCTTCTCTCTCTCAATTCCTCTCCCTTCCTCTCTCTCTCAAATCAATAAAGAAAAATATTTTTTAATAAAATAAAATAAAAAATTCTTGCAGCACATCGGTTGAAAATTGCTGTAACAGAGTGAATACCCCAGACTGATTCAAATTTGAAATCTAAGGATTTTTATTATTGTTGCTGTTTTAAATAGACACTAGATGGCGCTAAGAGATCACTGGATGAGACTTGAACAACTGATACTAAACCAGAATTGTCACTCTGAGCCTATTCATATGCCAAACCCAAAGCACTTGGGGAAACCCCAGCACATCCCACCCTTCTACCAAAGGCAGCTGTTCCTCAGTACAAACAGTGATCAAAGAAGCAGCCCACTCACTGCCATGGAGAAATTCTATAAAACAAATGAAAATTTAAACATTTCCACCAGTGATGTGCTTGCAGCATTTACTCAGAATCCTAACCCGTGAAGGCCACCTCATGCCTTCTTGTTGACTTAGCAGAATAGAGTCGGGGTCCGTCAACTCTGCCCTAAGGATGAGTGGGGAGGAGGGACCTGAAACCGGAAGCTGTCAGGTGATGAGGGTGCCGATGAACACCTGTGAAATCACATGGGCAGCAGGGCTGAACGAAAGAACAGGCAGGTGTTCAGAAGTAACATAAGCAGCCCTCTCCACCTGGTATTGCGTTCACCATTTACTTCCGGAAAACTAAGGGTGTGTTGGGTGAACTGTTTTAGTCTGCTCCTCCACACAAAGTAGGAGTGCAATCTTCCTTTCTTTGGAGATCCTGGTTCCACAAACATCGAAAAGCCCAGGGCAACACGTGGACACCGAGGCCCGGGCTGCACGTGGAAACATGCTCAGGGAGCACAGCTCGTCCAGCCCTTCCAGGAGCCACAGGAGGGGACAGGCGGCCAGGGAGGAAGACATCACAGCTGACACTTTTAAAGATTCAGAGAATAATCAATGCACTGAGTCAGATTTGGGGGAGCTCGGCAATTTTTAAACTGTGAAGTTTTTCTTCACAGTGACAGCATGTCAGTGGTCAAGTGTTCAGCTAACTTGAACACAATACCTTGACTTTGTCTTGACTTTCAAATCTGGAATATACTCAGGAATTTTTAGGTTTGGAAAAGGGAATATGGTATAAGCCTACATTTCTATAGTTAGAATCTGGTTTCAGTATTTTTATCTGCCTCAGTTCTCCTGTCTCTCTCCAGTCACCCTCAGGTGCCGCTGGGATCCAGCACCGTTTCTCCCCAGACTGAGCATTTCCCTGGGCCAGTGTCACCTGCTTCCGTGGCAGGTAGGGAAGTACCTGGGCAGGTACCACCAACCACCAACCACCAACCCGGGATGCTGTGGCTCTTGGGAAGCACGTGGCCCTAATTCCGGGGATCTTTAAAAAAAAATGTCTTTCATTTTTGGATTTTTATTTAACCCACAGTCTGTTTCTGTACCTCTCTCCCCCATGGGGCGAAACCCAAAGACAAGCCCAAAGGCCTCACCTTGTGTGCACAAGCGGCCCTCCGCTCCTGCTTGGCCTTCATCTCCGCCAGCAGGCCGCTGCCCATCACCTGGACGCGCGACCGCCGGCCTCCCTGGGGGCTGCCGCTGTGCCCCGGCTTCCCTGCGTCCTCCCCCTGACCTTCCTCTAGGGACTCGGGCGCTTCTAGCTCCTCTGCCTGCTCAGAGCTGCCGTTGTGCTCAGCTGGCTTCGAGTCCCTCCTGGGTGTGTCCACAGCCGGACTTCTGACCACCCCTTTCGGGCAGGACAGTTCTTCCGTCATCAAGATGGTTGGTGGCCGCTCAGATCTGGACCGGGACTTGATTAAATTGAGGAAGCCACTCTTCCGGGGGTCTCTCTTCTTCTTCTCATCACCTCCTTCACCGAGGTCATGGGTCTCCGAGCCTCTGGCCGACGATCTCCTGTGACTCAAAGGAACAAATCCTGGTTTTACTGTAATTCACGTTCCAGCAGGAATCAGTCCAAGTCTAACAGGGAGGCTGCAGCGCACACAGCAGCCACGCTGGAGCCTCGAGAAGCTGGTCGGAGTCGCTGCGTCGCAAGCGGAGCGGAAGGTCAACGGCACCGTCTCACCCGCAGGCGAGGGCGCCGCGGCGCAGACCAGGGAAGGGGCCCGAGGGTAGGGCTGAGAGCAGAGGAAGCTTTCATGTTCCAACGCTCTGGTCAGTGCTCAGGAGCCCAGCCACGCAGCTGGCCACCCTCCAGGCTCAGGGGCAACTGCCTGATTCAATCTGGTGCACAATGATTTGCCCAAACCCTCCAAAATCCTCCCACGACCACTAGTAACATCGGAAATCCCACCATTATTAGCACTCAACCCAGAGATCTGGATCCTTGCTTAACAGTCATACCAACAAAACAGGCAACATAATGAAGAGAGACAGTGAGCAGTGACATGGCTGTAATCAAGTCACCGCTCCACACGGATGGAACCCGCAGTGATGACAGTGCCTGAGCACGGAGGGGGGGGGAGGGACTGTGTGTGTGAGTGTGAGTGTGAGTGGGTGTGTAAGTGGGTATGAGTGTGTGTGATTATATGAGTGTGAGTGGGGGGGTGAGTGGGGGTGTCCGCGTGTATTTGGGGGGTGGCAGGGCAGAGTAATAGGAGCTAAAATATTCCTCTATAGTAAGAAATCACTAATTTTAGTTATTATCCAAAACAGGAAATTGCAAGTTATTAAGGAATTTGAAGGCAAAATAAAAAAACAAACAGCCCAAGGAACTGGACGTCATTGCCTCTGGGGAAGGGAAAGAAACAAGGAGTTTGCTGAGCATCTGACATTTTCAGTTACGAGCTTGGGAAACTTCAATTTTCAAGCTTCTCCACACAACTTCGGGGCTGGACCCAAGCCCAGCCCTTTGTATCTAAAGTGACAATGTCTGCTTATCTATCACACAAGGCAAGGGAGCCGACCACTTCGGGTCGATTCCATCGCCAGGTGACAATGGATGTGTCACGTTCTGCTTGAACAGGAACATGACAGAACCTTCCCAGCAGCATCGAGGCTGGAAGTGGATTTCACAGCCTACAGAACGTGCCCACCGCTTGCTCGGAGCCGGTCAGCAAGCCAGCGGGGCAGGTGTCATCGCTGACGGGACCCAGATGGATGGCATCGACCTCCCCACTAACCAAATGCCCCTTTCTGAAGTGGGGGAGAGTGCCCACAGGGGTACCTGTGATTGACACAGATGTGGGCTGCGAGCATCCTCCCCCGCGCACCCCACAGGGACCAAGGCAGACGACATACCACAGGCCGTGTCACAGGCACGGGGATCACATTGAAAAGCCAGGCCCAGGGGTCGCCTCTGCAGAGAGCCTTCTGCGGGAAGTACAGGGCGTCCCCCTGCTCCGTGCCTCGGCACAGCTCCTACCTCTGACGCTGAGAATCCCTTCATCCATTCCCTCAGCTGCAAAAAAGAAACCCCCCGAACTCTCCGAGGATGGGGTGTGCTCCACAGATGTGTGCGGAGGACCCAGAAGAAAGTGGCGAGTCAGCTTCAGAGAAACAGCAACTAACTTGGGGGGCAGGGGGAGCCGCCATGGCAGGGCTTCGAAGAATGAACGACATGCCGGTTGTCCCCGAAGGACAGGATAGGCTGCTCCAAGGACAGGTGCCGAGCTCCAAGGCCAGTGCCAAAGACAAGTAACCGGGTCCTAAACTTGCCGGCTCCCCACCGTCCTGCTGAGGCGAGATGAGAGCCGAGTCTACAGGACACTGTAGTTCCTCCCTCCCTGCGTCCCTGCCCACTGGGCTCATTAGAGGGTTTAAAATCCTTCCTGAACTTGATGTCTCAAGGTAAAGAATACTTCACAGACACAAATCCAGGTTAAAAGTATATTTGGGGATGGATCTGTCCTTAGCTGGGAATTTGAAAACTTGGTAAATCATTGCAAAGAGTGGAGTATTGCCCAGCTGGTGTGGCTCAGTAGTTGAGCGTTGACCCAGGCACCAGGAGGTCGCCAGTTCGATTCCCGATCAGGGCACATGCCCAGGTTGTGGGCCCGATCCCCAGTGGGGGCCGTGCAGGAGGCGGCCAATCCATGTTCTCACTCATCAGTGTTTCTATCTCTCTCTCCCTTCCTCTCTCTCTCTAAAATCAATAAAAAAAAAATTTTTTTTTAAAGACTGTTTTAAGGGAAACAACTATTAATGAAAGTACCACTGAATCGTCTCGGAAGAAAACTGCACTTGGAACCAAGAAAACGCAGAGCGTGCTGGAGGCCGACACTGATGCCTCTTCACCGATGGTGTCGCTGCCCCAGCGCCGTCCCCGGCTGCGCTTCTCCCGGTGCCCCAGCCCCCGGTGTGCCGCCTGCGCACAGGGCACATTAGAAAGAAGCGGCCCGAGCTGTCCAAGCTCACCGCCCTGCACCAGTCACCTGGGGAGGTGGAATGCCTGGGAAAACACCACAATGGTGGGGTTTGTGCTCCGCTTCAGACCAGCACCGTGGGGTCAGTTCGTCCCCTGCAGGGCTCACTAAAACATGGAGGCTGGCCTCCACCTGCAGAGTCTCGGTCAGGAGGTCTGGGTCGAGGCCGAGAATTTGACCTCTAACACATCCCCTGCTGATAACAGCGTGGGAGCCTGGAGATCCCAGTGTCCCAACCATCCGAACAGTGAGTCCCATCAAGAACATCTATACACACATATACACAAGCCTCAGTATACACGGTGTAATGGTAACTGCTTGTGATTTGTATGTGAATTCGACAGTAGTACTAGTAACAACTCTGAACTCACATTTTGGTCACCTTCTTGGTGAAGAATTCATCCACCCCTTCGTCCACTCTCCCCATGAGGCCGTTCTGCTCACCGTCCTGGCTGACAAGGGCCGTGGCCCAGACCTGCAAACCAAGCAGGTGAAGCAGGGACTGACACTCAGCACAACCCAGTTGACAGGCGTCAGCAGGTTCGAGGCACCGTGACCAGGGCTATGGGAACGAGACCGGGCCACCAGAACCATAGTCACGTGGGCAAGTATGAGGGCAGGGAGTACAAATGTGGACTGCAGACGGACACAGGCCTGGCAAAGCCCGATGCCGCTAGTGTCTCTAAAGGCAGGGAGAGACACAGGCCCAGGGCCCTGAGGGGTGCGCATGGGCAGCTGCTGAGTGGAAACCGGGCACACACGAACCCCAACCGCTCAGGTCTGGGTCACCAAAAGCAAAGGCACCAGAGCAGGTGAGCGCACTGGAGTTGGGGGACATGTGCACACCCCCAAGTCAAATGGCAACGTTTTGCCCTGGACTGTTCGGCTCAGCGGTTGACGCGTCAGCTCGTGGACCAGAGACCCTGGTTCGGTTCCCACTAAGGGCACGTACCACTGGGGCAGTTTGTCTCCGGCCCCAGTTCGGGTCATGTGGGTGGTAAACAGTCAATGTGTCTCTCTCACGTCGATGTTTCTCTCTCTCCCTCCTTCCCTCTCTCCCTCCCGCTCTATCTGAAGATACATGAAAAAATGTCTTTGGGTGAGGATGGAAAAAAAAAAAATGGCAACGTCTCCTAACCACAAGTAAACTCTCCGCTAGGTACTGTTCACCTTATACTCAGAGGCTGTAAGACCATATAGAGGTGGCTTTTCTCAGCCATGTGACTGGTATTTTGAGAGAGAAACATTAATCAGCTGCCTCCTGCACACCCCTACTGGGGATTGAGCCCTCAACCAGGGCATGTGCCCTGACCGACTCAAACTGGGACCTCTCAGTTCATGGGAGGACGCTCCACCCACTGAGCCACACCGGCCGGGCACGACTGGTATTTCTCTAGGGACTTCCAAGGACAATCCTGTTTGCAGAATCGTAGCCCCGAGTGGAGCTGTTCTGCACAGCGTCAGATGCACGGCACCCGCCCCCCTGCCCCAGCCCCTCGGGGGAGCCCCCACCTACCGCCGCCTGGGTGGGCCGCTGCCTTTTGTTGCGCCGGGGCCTCAGCTTGGTGAAATGTTCCAGCTTCCTCCCCTCCTCCGACGGCAGCTCGGGGATGAAGCCCGAGCTGCGCTTCTCCGCTCGGCCGGATGGAAATGGTGGGTCCTCCATGTGAATCGGCACCTCCTCCAGGGCCTTGTCCAGGTCAAACTCCATCTCTGTAAGAAGCAAAGCCCAGACCCTCACTCGCGCACGGAGACGGAGAACAATTCCCGATGGGGATGAGTCCAGCCCGGAACAGCCAACGGCCATCTGCCAGTCACTCAACTCTCTCAACACCTGCTGGCCCTGCGCATCCCTGAGAAGCACCCCCGCAGGTGTGCGGCCGGACGGGGTCACTCACCAAAGGCCCTGGACACCGGCCGCAGCATCCGGCTGTGGATCGTCTTCCTTTTGGACTTGGGGGTCATCTAGCAACAAAGCACAGACCGCACTGAGCCACAGCTCACAGACTGCCCCTGCCTCAGAAACCTGGCACCGTCCTCTCAGCTCAGGGTCACTTCGCCTCCTTGGAGATGGTCGGCGCCATCGGGCAGCCCAGATGAAAGCCGGGCCCACCTATTTCTAAATCTGTTTTCTCGAATGCCGCAGCCACTGTTTCTCCTGCGCCAGCCCCAACAGGTCATGTCCTAGTGCCACAGAGGTGTCCAAATGGACAGACTGAGGTGGGAATGCTGTGAATCGGTCCCTCAAAACTGGAGCAACATCAGTGTCGGCACTGGTCACGTTGCCCCCCGAGGCAGCGTGCTCCCCGCCCGCACCCAGATTTACACTGTGGGTGCAGACGAGTTGGGGTTCAGACGCCTGTATCCACCCTCACTTCTCAGAAAGACACCTTTGATCCTGCTGTTCCTTTAAAACACGAGACCAAAACCCCAAACGTCTTCAGGGCGTTTCTCTGGTGTGGCGCCAGCTGCTGGTTGTGCAAAGCCTAAGGCCGGGGGTCCCCTTCCCTCCGCAGGGCCATCCCACAGGTCAGCGATGGAGGGACCCCCGTCATCAGCCACACAAACTACATTGAAGGAGGAAACTGAGTCACAGAGATGGTGGCGGCGACCGTTCAAGGTGCCAACAGGTGCAGTGCTAGGGACAGGCCCAGCAGGAAGGTTGGCCCTGGGCCCCTCCGGCGTCACCGGTCGTCATCAGCGTACAGACAGTAGGTTTCAGGGATATTGAACTGGTTGATGCTGGAAACTGGCATTTGTGCAAATACAGGGATAACATCATTGAAAGGACTTGGTTGGCAGACTTTCACTTTATGTTTCTCAAAACACAAATCCACTAGGTTGATAAACTTTCTTTGGTTCAAAGATCAAACTGGTTCTTTACAGTCGAAAGTTTTATTTCAGTTTTACTAATAATTTCCTTTGGCTATTACTCATTGTTGAGGGAAAGGAGAGTAAAAAACGATAATCTGTTGTACTTAATCCCAGACTGGTCTTCCTGAAAAATGCTGACTTGGTTCTTTCAAGGCTGTGTGAACTGCAACCTGACCAGGGTCTATCAGTGGAGTAACAGGCTTTTCAGGTTCAACAAAATCGGACTCAAACTGGACAGAGCCCAGTTTCAAGGCTGTTCTCCCTTAAACTGGCCTGGCCACTGGCTGACGACTCATCAGGACTGAGACCTCTGCATATAATTACTTCTCAGGGGATACAAACTGCCATAATTATACTGTTTACTCAGAAAACGTCTTCTGTTTCTATCCGCTTTGTGCACAACCATGATATGGAAAAAGACGTAGCCTGGGGTCTGAGTTCCCACCAATTCATGTAGATGGTCATAAATAAATAGAAGTTCAAATGCATGGCATGAAGACGTACTCCAAAACCTTCCCCTGGAGTCTACAAGAAGGTGTTCATGGGCAAAAATAACCATGCACCCCACCCCTGTAGAACCTTTATAACAGATGCCAGACAAGCAGAGCATGACAATTACATTTCCAATACGGCACACTTTTTTAAATATATGAAAAGGAACCTAGAGAATTATGTATAAAAGAACGCATGCATCTTTAAAAATCCAGTCTATGAGTAATAAATAATTTTCAATTCACATCTTCAGGGCAGAGGAACAGTGTGTTAAATCCCTTAAACATAACTGCAGAAGGAAACCCCTAAACACAGTCTTCTTTCTCATCCTGACACAGCACAGGCAGACAGACAGACACACGCGGCCCGTTCTCCAGGAAACTCAGCTGCTGGGCATCCACACCCTCGGAAACCCACCGTCTGACCAGGTTTCACTGTGGATCTAAAACCACTGTCTGTGTGGCTCCCTAGCATCAGCCCATTTTACCAAGTTAAGATCTAACATCGGAACCTTACAAACAACACACTTTTTTCCTGTTAAATTCACTTTCAACATGTACTTCCTAGACATACTAATTTAAAAAGTAAAACAAGAGTTAAATTGTTTCTATCGCCACAAAAATAGCATGGAGTCCTTTTCTTCTTTGTGTTACCAAGTTTGCATGAAGAATAACAAACAGCCCTCGCGCCCCACGCTCGAGAACCCCTGACTGCTTTCCTCTCCCTGAGCTTAACAGAACAAAACAAAACAAAACAAAAAGGCAGTTAAAAAAATACAAACCAAGCAGTTACAAGCAGATTAGTAAAATTCGTATAATGCAAGAAGTGATTGGTGGTGCCGATTGGCAGGACCTGGAAACAAGTCCACAGAGTGGGGAGTGTGAGCGAGCACGTCTTTTCCCAGGAGAACACAGCAAGGACTGTTTCCCGCCTGAACGTGTGCACCCTCTGCACCAGCCCCCCATGGCCTTTCAGCACAGGCTGGAGGGACAGTCGTTGCCGGTCCGCCCGCTGAACCGCCTTGTGAAACCCGGTCTTGCCTATAACTGCAGGGCCACAGACGGGCGAGGACAGGGCAGCGGCCTGGGAGACAGCCAGGCAGGGCCACAGACGGGCGAGGACAGGGCAGCGTCCTGGGAGACAGCCAGGCAGGGCCACAGACAGGCGAGGACAGGGCAGCGTCCTGGGAGACAGCCAGGCAGGGCCACAGACGGGCGAGGACAGGGCAGCGTCCTGGGAGACAGCCAGGCAGGGCCACAGACGGGCGAGCAGTAGCGCAGAAGTGAGCAGACACAGCAGCGGAACTGGGGGGCTAGAAGCAGCAGGGCCGCCCAGATACTTACACTTGTACAGCAGAGGGTCTCCATGCAGCGAAAAGAAAGGGAAAAGAGATGAGTGGAACAGGGAGCAGCACCAGCGTTACAGGAGGGGGACGCCGCTCACGCGACTGGAGCGGCACAGCGGCCTGGGCGCAAAGCGTGGAGGCGGGTGAGGCCCAGACCGGGTTCGCCGAGGCTTTTCATGGCACGATGACAGCTCGAATTGCAGAGCCTCCCACAGCTGTTACTTCTTCCCAGTGTGTACAGAAGGGTCCCCTCGGGGGTGTCAAGGTTACTGTGTGAGATTCGTTGGTTGTGGGATAATGATGTATTTTCTAAATGCACTAGTTATATCCTGGCTGATCTTCCGTCAAGTGCAAGTTTTGCTTCAATGGTATATGTCAGACTATATTCATTATTACAAAATCAGAATTCTACGGAGAATGAAAATAAAGCACTAAGTTCACTGGGGAAAAAATGTCACCGGCCGACCCCAGGTGGGGGATGGAGATAGCCAGTGGACAGCGATGACGCAGGCTCTGTCCTGGCCGGGGCTGGCCCAGTCAGTGGGGGTGGCATCTCCATGGGGGAGCGTCTTTTCGGGGCCTTTTCCGTTATTCTGTGCTCCTGTTGCACTCTAGGTAAGGTAGCTGTGACTCTCCTCCGTCCTCGAAATCTTTCAGGAAAGGATTGGGGAGCCAGGCCCTGCCAGGGTGACCCACCCACCTCAGACACCTGCTCCTTAGAGGGAGTTTGCATTTCATACTATATCTCCCATATTAAATAATGTGGGTCATCACTAACCACTGTGAGGGCCTCTTAATATTCTGAAAACGTATCTACGGCTCCCCAGTTTGAGTGGAAACAGCTGGGCCTGTTCGAGGAGGCCCCATAAACACCAGCACCATCGCCGTTATCATCAACATGACTTATCAGAAGGTCACCATCTCCAGACTTCAAATTTCATACTTTACTAGGTACCTTCCTTCAAATATACCTTATTTTATGATCCATTACATTAAATTGGAAACAGCCCTGCTGAATTAAAAGAGAAAAACTTAAAATACATTTCCAAATATTCTTGCATGTCGTGAAATGCAGATTTCTGCCCTGTGTTAAGACATATGCCCTGACCACAGATGCAAACAAGGGAGATGACAGCTCTGGTCACCCCGCAGACAGTCTGGATGTGCCTTGTCCTTCTGAAAGGCTGATTCTACACAACACCGGCTCTCCCAGTGACTCACGTGAGGATCATTTAAGTGACGGTGAGGAGCCCTTCCACTGGTACAACCCCTAAAACGACAGGTACCTGTTCCTACGACAAGAAAAACCATGACAGCAGACACCTTTCCAATGGAACAAAGCATGATGGTTTGTCCTGGACCCTTTCTGTGTGCTCTGGGAACCGGTTCGACTGACTGACTGACATCTTCCCAGAGGGACGAGGGCAGGACAGGTGGGCGAAGAGGTCACCCATCTCTCAAGGACATCCCAACTGATTCTGAATGAGACAGCAACTTGATGTTCTGCACATGGCATGACCGTTCACAGATTAGTTGAATTAGCAACTGTTGGTACTTAAAAAGAGGTGATTTCTTAAAAAAAAAAAAAAAGCATTTGACTCAAATGTTTACTGAACTTTAATCGGCATTCAAACACTTAAAAAGTATTCACTGAGCCCTGGCCAGTTTGGCTCAGTGATTAGAGCGTCAGCCTGCGGTTCAGAGAGTCCCGGGTTCGGTTCCCATTAAGGCCACGGACCTCAGTTGCAGCTTGTCCCCGGCCTGGTTGGGGTCATGTGTTGTGTGGATGGCAGCCACTCAATGTGTCCCTCTCACAACGATGGTTCTCTCTCTCTCTTCCCCCCTCTCTCCCTCCCACTCTATCTGAAGATAAATGCAAAAAATCTCCTTGGGTGAAGATTTGAAAAAAAAAAGTATACACTGAAATCGGAGGCTACATTTAAGGGGAAATAATTATTTTGTCATTGGAGAAAGGCCCCGAGAGATGCATCCTGTAGTAATTCAAGCTCCTTGCAATTCTTTTCCTGGGAAACAGCAGCAGGGGGCTGCTTCTCTGCAGAGCTGTCTTTGAGTCACGCTGGCTGACGCTCATTACAACGCAGGAAGAATGATCACAGCCGTGGCTGGCACCAGGAAGGAGCACACGTCTCCTCACCACGCACCACACCATCTACACCCTGGGCTTCCACAATTTTTTAAACTGCAGAGTGACAACGAACTATTTAGAGATGATAAGTCAGCAGATAACAAGTCTGCATCCTTCAATCCCCCCAGCTGACGGCAAACGCACGTGAAGGGTGGTTGGAAACGCTGATTTCCTGGGAGCACCTGCTGCGGGAGGAAGCTGGTCTGCAGACGGTGAGGGTCCGAGGGGAACACATTAGGTGTGACACAGGCACGTGTTCAGGTGATAAGATGCATACAGGAAGGCTAGTTAACCTGTCACCCACAAAATAACACACAGAGAGGCATGGGCCTCCCAGGTGGGCAAACTCACTTCAAACGACTGGACAACAACTGGACCTGCCACATTTTTGGGGGGGGGGCATGTGCCCCTAGCAGGAATCGAACTGGGGAGTCTCTGGTCCACAGGCCAATGCTGCAACCGCTGAGCCAAACCGGCCAGGGCTGGACATTCCACATTTTTGACACAGTTGTTCCCACAACGTTTAAAAACAGCACAGGCTTACGTCCTGACTGGACAACACACAGCTGTCTCTGTGTTTCTGTTCACACAATCACTTATCTGGTGTTCGTAAGGAGATGTGTTACATAAAGCAAGGAAGTCTAACGAAATCTAACTCAAAATTTCATTCTGATTGTGAGCAATGCACCAGAAGGGACATCCGGGCAGTGATTCCAGCTGAGTATACCAAGGTGCCTGCATACAGGTGACCTGGCACAAGCTACTTAAGTTCTCTGTGCCTCGGTCCCCTCACCTGGCCAGTCACACCAGCCCTCACCTGGTCGGTCGGTCACACCAGCCCTAACCCGGTCCGAACCCAAGTTTAACAGGTGTCGACCAAGAGAACAATGTCTTTTAAAAAAATCAATCATATGGATTATTGTTTCCATTCCCATGAAGGCAACTCTGACATTCAAATAAATAATTTCTTCCTCTGACTACGTCCTCACACCTTGGCTTGGATGATGACAACCAGTGACCCTTCACAGAGACGTGAGCACGGAAAAGGGACGGATTCCAGGTCCAGGGAGCCATGGGAGACAGGAAGGGAGCAGAGAGAAAAACTACGGGACCAAGAAAGAGATGGTCACCACACATATTTTATTTGGGAACATGTCCTTCCTCACATGTTTTTGATGGCTTCTTTATTTAGAGAACTAGTCCTTCAAAAACGACCCTTATACACTGTCACCTTGTCCTGATTCTTCAGGAATTCTCCACTGGGCCCCAGGGCGGGTGACGCTCACTGGCGCTCTCCCGGGTTTTCTGTGGGATGAGGGTGCTGGGTTCCCTTTAAGAGAGTTTTACACAATTACAAATAGAAAGGTTGACGGCAGCCTTCACTGGGACCTGAAGCTCAAGTATCATTAACTCCACTTACAGCCTCTGTACAGAATACATTTCTGCAAGAATCGTCCCGGGGGAGGCGCTATGTGGTCTGGTTGGTACGTTGAGACTGACGAAGACCGACAGCAGAGCCCAGGGGCCGGGAGCACATGGCCGGAGCACCTGTCTTACCACACACGTGTCCAGGTCCTCCAGCCGCTCCATCTCCGAGAGCTCCTCTACCACCAGCGCTGGGCGCTGCGCAAACTTCCCGCCGGCGGGCTCTGCGTCCACGGCCTCGGGGGGCGCGAGGGGCCTGCCCCGTCCGCTGAAGTGGTCGGTCTAGAGAGTCAACACAGGACACATTGACCCCAGACCCAGGAATGGCAGCGGAAAGATGGCCCTGAAGGGCCACGTCTGCATGTGGTTCATGACCCTTCTTACGCTCACTCTGACTCGCCCCTCTTATTATCTTTCGTTGGAGGGCATTGTGGGAGCTGAAGAAAAGACAAAACCTCCTTTTTAAAAAAATGTCTTTTGAGACTCTATTTTTTGAAAAACACAATCTTTGCCTTGTTGATGCAACTAGGCACAAAGTAGGCATGTGTTTCTGTTTCCGAATAAGGTCCCTCTCCCTGAAGCTGGTGTGATTTCTCAACTTTTTATTTTTTATTTTTTTATATATACATTTTTCTTTATTGATTTTAGAGAGAGAGGAAAGGAGAGGGGGAGAGAGAGAGAAACATCGATGAGAGAGAACATCGACAGGCTGCCTCCTGCATGCCCCCCACTGGGGATCTGGCCCACAACCTGGGCATGTGCCCTGACCAGGAATCGAACCCATGACCTCTTGGTGCAGGGGTCGATGCCCACCCACCGAGCCACACCGGCCGGGCATGATTTACTCAATTTTTTATCTTAAATGCAGTCACAAAATTATATCCACCAGGAGGCATGACCACCTTTTTCACAGAGAAGCCACTTTCTTTGTAAAATGCAAAAGAAAGTCAATACTTTCGGAGTAATTAATTCTTCAAGAAGGACAAAGGCAGAAAAGTGTGTGATTCCAGACTTCAGTGCAGTCCTCGGGTACACGCAGACACAGCGCCCCGCCCCGGTGGCCAGCGGGCAACAGCAGCCCCACGAGCTGTGCTGTTGATGCTCTTTTCCGCAAAGGAGGAGCCATGGATTTTGTTTCTGCTTTTTTTCCGGAGCTCTGAATAGTGACATACCTCTTCATGGTGCCACGAACTAGAAATGTGTGATCCTTGCATTCTGTGCTGATGGGCCGGTTTTTTACACGTCCAGTTTGCACACACCAATGTGTTGGTAGAACACAACAAACTAAGAAATCAGCAACACAAGAGCTGTGTGCATAGGTCAAATTGCTCCAGAGGTTTGTCCAGGCCCCTGGCTGCCGAGCTCACGGCCAGCCCCGCCCACCGGGGGCCAGCTCCACCCACAGCAGCCCTTTGAGGAGCAAGCTGGGGGTCTGCCTTCTCTCCCAGATCCCAGAGGGCAGCCTCGTATATTTTCCGTAACGATCTCGGCAGGGCCCCCGTGTGCGCCTGTGGGAAGAAGCTGTCGCTGCCCCCAACCTGCTTGCTCTCCAGCATCAGCCAACAATCCGATGTCGATCTGACAGTTTTCTCTGTAGCAAACGTCCTGACTTCTCAGGAGGTTGCTACCGCATCAGCTCACTGGTATGTGTGAGACACAACCTTCCTCTGTGCCGAAGTCGAGAAGCACGAGGTGGCTGAATACCTTTTCTCTACTAGATCCTGAAAGCGGGGTCCCGGCCCGGCACAGAACTGTCTCTAGAAGAGAGATCACCCTGCACTCTGTCACCAGGGGCTGCAGGAGCACTCGGCCGCTGTCAGCCCCAGCCCAGTCCCTTTCCGCTTGCATTTTCTTTGGACTCCAAACATTTCATTTCCCTGCTTTCGGGGATGGTCCGCTCTCAAATGGCCATATCAGAAACTAACAAAATGAGCCAGATAAATTAAACAGTCTAAAATAAAAATCTTGATTTGCCCTGGCCGGTATGGCTCAGCAGTTAGCGCGTCAGCTTGCGGACCAATGGCTTGAGCTCGATTCTGGTCAAGGGCACATGCCTCGGTTGTGGTTCATCGCCGGCCCTGGGTGGGTCATGCAGGAGGCAACCAGTCGATATGTCTCCCACATTGAGGTTTCTCTCCCACCCTTTCTCTCCCTCGCTCTCTATCGAATGATAAATGGAAAAAGTATCCCCGGGTGAGGATTAAAAAAATAAAAATCTTAATTTTAGATCTGTCTCCACATTGTCTCCTCCCACTGCTCTGGCCTGCATCATACACAAATGGGCAAGATCTCTGGGCGCCGGGCTTCTGCTCTCCCTGAACTGCCCCCAAGTGTCCGACACGCTTGGAGCAGCTGGAAGGGACACAGAAGAGGAAGGAGGGGCTGGGGCCCAGCCTGAGGAGCTGCAAAGGCACAGGGCGTGGAAGAGGGCCCGCTGCTCACTGCGGCCGCTGGCGGGCAGCGGGCAGAGCCGGGCGGCCCCGCACGGCAGCACTCACCAGTCGGTGATGGCAGTGAGAAAGCGCGTCCAGCACTTCATCCACGATGCGGTCGGACAGGAAGGAGGCCACTGTCAGTTTCACTTCACTGCAGAAAAATCCAAAGAGCAGAACAGCATTTTAACTTGATTTTTGGGGAAAAAAATCACCCACCCTTGACGCTATGTTGATGAGGTCCATTGTGACTGGTCCTATCTTTGTGAAGGGAACATAGAATGCGTGAACAGAGCTGAGGATGTCCAAAAATAAGCCTTACACGTGGCCATAAACACACAGGTAATAGACTTTCTCGACCAGCTTCAACCTGCCTCTGAATTCAAGATGCAGAGGTAGAAATGAGAACGTCTGGGTGAGACCAACGTCATGGGAACCAGGAGGACTTCTGGTCAGGAACAATTCGTCCATTGACAGGAACGACAGCGAACTGGGCTGGAGTGGACGAAGAAAGCCAGTCGACAGTCCAGACTAGGCTATGACAGACGCACGCACGTCTTCCAGAAACCTCTCGCAAGCCACAGTGCCTACGCCACCGGTGCAGCCCTGACTCTCCTGACTGGGCACAGTTACAGTTGTCCTGCCTTTTATGAACAAATATTACCAAAATGTTCAGCTTTAGTGTCTCTTGCTTGGCCTTAAAAAGGGGCCCAGAGAGCCCTGACCGGTTTGGCTCAGCGGTTAGAGCATCGGCCTGCAGTCCGGAGAGACCCGGGTTCGGTTCCCGCTAAAAGCATGTACCTCGGTTGCAGTTTGTCCCTGGCCCTGGTTGGTCGTGCGGGTGGCGGGTGGCGGCCACTCGATGTGTCCCTTTCACATCGATGTTTCTCTCTCTCTCTCTTCCTCTCTCTCCCTCCCACTCTACCTGAACAAAGAATGGAAAAGTGTCCTCGAGTGAGGATTAAAAAAAAAAAGGGGGTCCATACAGTAGAGTGGCTGGCAGTCACTTCACTAATCAACAACTCGGCCCCTCAGGGTTCGGTCAGAGAGCTGGTATTTTGTGAGCTCTTTGCCACCCCAGAATTCAGACGCCATGCGTGTCTCCAGTCTGAAAAGCCCATGTAAATGCGCACAGGCACATGCATGCAGCACGCGTTACAGGGCCGCATGCAGGAGAGAATGATTCCCACGTCCCAGCATTGCCTCATGAGTTTAATCAGCTTTTAAAGTCGACAATTTTTAGATTTTCAGAGTAGGGAACAGAATTATGAAAATGATACTCTTTCATTGTAAAACTAAAATAAAAAGGATATTTGCATAGCAGGAAACACTTCCTACGACAAGGCAATGATTTGCACTGAGGGTTCTCTGCCCAGGAAGGGTTCTGGAGCAGGACAGGGAGTTACAGAAGCACTAACTCGTCAATGTCAACGTTAAAAGTTTCCCTGGGCTGAAGATAAAGGGGTGTTAATTTTTTCTTTTATCCTCACCCGAGGACATTTTTTCATTTTTTGTTCAGATAGAGTGGGAGGGAGCGAGAGGAAGAGAGAAACATTGACGTGAAAGGGACACATCGAGTGGCTGCCACCCGCACGACCAACCAGGGCTGGGGACAAACTGCAACCGAGGTACGTGCCCTTAGCAGGAACCGAACCCGGGTCTCTCTGGACCGCAGGCTGCTCCAACTGCTGAGCCAAACCGGCCAGGGCCAAAGGGGTGTTTCTTTAATGTCTGCCTGTCAAATGAGGTCTCGGCTATTTGGTTTACCTAATACGTTATTATTCCACAAAGGTGTCCACTGAAAAGATTCACCCAGGTCTCTTATTAAAAATACAGCCTTGCAGAAAAATGGCAGCAGGCAAGACCAGAGGGAGTGTGAGTGTGTGAGAGAGTGTGAGTGTATGTGAAGGTGGGCAGTGCACAGCCGCGGAGCAGAAGGTCCCTGTGCTGTGGACAGAGCAGCCGGCTATGTGGTGAGCTTCAGGGCGCTTTTCCCTGCTCTGCAGGGAGGTCCCACCATTTTGTAAGATCCCGGGGCTTTCCTGGGAGGAGGCAGTGCGAGCAGCTAGGGCCCAACAACCTGAGCCCACCAGCACACCTGGCACCATCGGACCAGTGGACACTCTGTGTCAACACAGACCAGTGCACAGCAGTGGAGCTCCCAAGGCGCTGGTCACGGAATCCGCAGACAGCCGGGAGCCCAGCACCATCCCCCATAGTAGCAGCCCGATCACAGTAGAGATATACCACCAGCAACAGAGGCTGGTGAGCAGATCCATCCCCAAGCAACAGAAGCACAGACCAGCAGCTGAGACCCATCCCCAAAAACTACAGCAAAGGCTGAGCAGGAGTTGAGCCCAACGGGGTAGCAGCACTCCCCAGCCACCAGTGGCGGGACCTGGGGTTCCACAGAAGCCTGTGCCACTCAGCGGCCCACAAGAGCGGTAGGAAGCCAGACCCCAGAGAGACTGGTGTAATCCAGCTGCCCACCCATGGGAACTGCAAGATGCACCCGGGGGCACCAGAGAGGCCTGTGCGACCCAGCAGGGACTGTGACATCCAGTTACCCGTGGGACCTGCGGGGTGCTGAAGCACCAGAGAGGCCTGTGCAACCCAGTAGCCTTTTACATAGGCATAGACATAGGTCCCCAAAGGGACTGTGCCATCCAGTTACCCACAGGACCTGCAGGGTATGGGGGTACCAGAAAGGTCTGTGTGAACCAGCTACACGAAAGATAGGCCTAGAGGATATGAAAATGGAGGTGGATTGAACAGAAGCTACGCAGACGATCTCCCAAGACCAAACGGAAATTAAACTAAAATAAAGATAAATCCTCGAAAAAAAGCAACAGAAAAGCAGCAGGACAGGACCATATAACCAGGGCCACTGGTAGAATCTGCGGAGACACGAGAGGGTGCGGGCTGGGAGCCCATGGACAGCAGCAGTCTTACTGTGAGCAGTGCCGTTGGGGAATAAAGACCAAGCCCACTCCACAGTGCAGAGAGCCTAGACAGAGTGCTAAAACAGCCACAGCCACTCACGTGGGGACTACGGCAGAGGGAGGGCAGACTGGGCTGGAACTCTGTGGGGACACCTGGGATTTGGAGGGCATTCAGAGTTTTTGCTGATTTGTGGCCACAAAGGACAGTGGCCAGTGTGCTCCTTCCCAGAGCTGTGGGGAAAAGTAGCAGGCCCCCCCCCCCAAAGATTCAGCCTTTCCCAGGTGAGGCCAAGAAATGCAAATTGAGGCTCGTTAACAACCAGCATCTATCCCACCCTCTGGAAATTCTTTTATGCACAACACCAGGGCTACATTCCAAGGCACTGAGTAACTGAGACTACTAGCCACCAGGAAAAAGTTAGAGGATAACTGAATGCTTCCTGGGCTTGCAAATCTACCCAGGAAAGTAAGAATTGACAGTGGTGTTTAACGTGGACGCAGCCAGGCTCATACAAACCCAGTACAGGGAGCCACAAACAGCAGAACACCAACACCCACAGGAAAATTTGGCAGGCTCCAAAACCCACTGAGATAGCCAAAATGGTGAAACAAAGAAACAAATCCCAAATGAAAGAACAAGCGAACTCTATTGAAGATAAGATCAATGAAATGCAGTTAAGCAAATTATCAGAGGTAGAGTTCAGAGCCATGATCTTGAGGAAGCTCAACAGCATCAGTAAGGACATCAGCACCATGAGTAAAGATACAGAAACACTGAAAACCAACCAAGTGGAAATGAAGAATGACATAGCAGAAATTAAGAACACATTGGAAGGACTAACCAGCAGAGTAGAGGAAGCTGAGGACCGGATCAGTGAATTAGAAGACAGGGTAGAAAAAATCAACAAATCAGAAAACCAAAAGGAAAAAACAATTAAAAAACAGGAAGACAGCTTAAGAGAACTATGGGACAATGGGAAACGTAATAACATTCATATCACAGGAGTCCCCGAAGAGGAAGAAAATGAGCAAGGGTTAGAGAATATATTTGAATAAATGGTAACAGAAAACTTTCCTAACTTGGTGAAGGAAGAAGGCATTCAAGTTCAAGAAGCACAGAGAGCCCCAAATTAAAGACACGAAACAGGTCCACACCAAAATACATAGTAATTAAAATACCCCAAATTAAAGACAAAGAGAGAATCCTAAAGGCAGCAAGAGATAAGCAACAGGTTACCTACAAAGGAAACCCCATAAGGCTCTCAGCTGACTTCTCAACAGAAACACTACAGGCCAGAAGGGAATGGCATGAAGTAATCAAGGTCATGAAAAACAAGGATCTGAATCCAACACTACTCTCTCCAGCAAGGCTATCATTCAAAGTAGGTCAAATAAAGAGCTTTCCAGACAAAAAAGGCTAAGGGAATATATTAACACCAAACCAGCACTGCAAGATATGCTAAGAGGACTGCTGTAATTAGTAGAAGAAATAGGAAGAAAAATAGAACCAAACTAAACAAAAACGGCAATAAATAAGTACATTATCAATTATCACCTTACATATGAATGGTTTGAATGCTCCTATAAAAAGACACAGAATAGCTGACTGGATAAGAAAGCATGACTCACATATAGGTTGTTTACAGGAGACCCACCTCACAACAAAAGATTCACATAAATTGAAAGTGAAGGAATGAAAAAAATCTTTCAAGCAAACGGAAAGCAAAAAAAAGCTGGGGTAGCAATACTCATATCTGAAAAAGTAGATTTCAAAATGAAGGCCATAACTAGAGACAAAAAACGGCCACTACATAATATTGAAAGGATCTATCCAACAGGAAAATATAACCTTGGTAAACATATCAGCACCCAATTTAGGAACACCAACATATATTAAAAATCTTCTGGAGGACTTCAAAGGAGAAATCAATAGCAATACAATCATAGTAGGGGACTTCAACACCCCACTAACATCACTGGATAGATCTTCTACACAAAAAATTAACAAGGAAACAAAGACTCTAAATAAAGACTCTAGATCAAATGGATTTAATAGATATCTACAGAGAATTACACCCCAAAACTGCAGAATTCACATTCTTCTCAAGTGCACATGGGACATTCTCAAAGATAGACCACATGTTAGGGCACAAACTCAGTCTCTACAAGTTCAAGAAGACTGAAATCATATCAAGCATCTTCTCAGATCGCA